AGCAAAGCATCGGTAGCATTAGGTGTTCCTTGCAGGTTTCCCGTCCAAGTACTGATCCAGCTTGAAGCTGGCTTAGCTCGAATGATCACAACCCCAAAATGGGACCTTCATTTATACGGACCCCTCATTCATTCTAATTATATCTTCATCTGGTCTCAACTATATGAGACAAGGGGTAACATTTTCAGAAGTGCCTAAGAGATTTAGGGGCTTAGCTCCCATTTTCCAAAGTGTCCTAGACACCTAATACTGGGAAATAGGACTTATACACTTTCAAATATTTTATTTGAGAACTGGTATTTCACTACAATTCCTGTAATCAGCCCTGTACCTCCTGTATAGTTTTTGAAGTAAATCCAGAGCAAATAACCGGCACAAAAAGCAGAATAGGAATCCATCTGCATACGAATCTTACTTTAGTCTAGATGGGGCACCAGTCAGAGCACTGTTGCCTGTCCAGGTTGGCACACCAGAAGCTGCTCCCAAACATCGCTGTCGGGAGATCTTTAAGGCTCTCAAGGCATCCTGGGCCACTCGGGTAGCTTCTGCTTCCACTAGCACATAATCTGGATTGGAAGCTTCCATAATAACATCATGCTTCATCACACTGTGTATTCCTAGTAGAGTGTGTTATAAGGGGGAGCAGGAGGAAAGAATATGTAAGAATTTAAGCAGTGAACTTTTAATTAAAAAAACTTAATTCCTTTTTACACTGACAGTGGAAACATTCAGCATTTCGATACATCCATTGATAACAGAGATACCTATTGTATCAAGTAAATCGAAGTATAACTAACCACTCCGATTGCCATGAGAGGTCAAAATTCATTGAGTCGTATTGGCTCTCCCAGTTAGTAAGGTTCCATTGTATTGCTGGATCTTGGCTAACTCCACCTGGGCAACTCCCTCTTCAGTGCAACTCCTAATTAAGCGAAACTCCATTAACTCCTTCAGCTCCAGCATGCACCTCCATACTGCTGTCCCACTTATTTAAAAAACACAAACACAAATGTGCACCTTTCACCAAAGGTTCAACATGTCTCAGAACCCTTTGGACAAAAAGACCTGTGACTCTTCACTGTACGAGGAGTCAATCCGAAATATTTTCCATCAGATCATTTACATTAAAGAAAATGTTCAAAAGTCATCTATTGCACTGTAGCTGCTAGCCATTACAACGCTAGAAACTGACCTGCATCCATTTTCTGTATTTTAACCTAACCTGGCATTGTTGTGTAAATGACTAAAAAGATTACCTGATTTTTTGAAAAGTTTCTCCAAGACATAATCATCATTCTTCTTTTGTTCTTCCTCCTCTTCTTGGTTGCCCTTTCGGTATTGCTTTTGTTTCATCAGATATGGGATGCGTTCCCCTTCAAATCTGGCACCTTTGTGATGTTTTGGCTTTTTAGAGGTCCCCCTGTGGCTCTCAAGTGCTTGCATAGCTATACCGTGCTTTGTTTTTGAGGTGCATTTGTGAGGATTATTTACCAGCTGTTCATCTTCCAAGTTACCATTCTGTTTCCCCTGGGAGCTGTCTGCCTCACATATGAGACTATGTCTGCTCCCAACAGGTATACTAGGTGCCCTATGCATTTCACCAGTTAATGTGGGGTTTGAACACTGCACATTCTCTGAAGTCTGTGCATTCCCTGGCAGTGCTTGGAATACAGACCCCTCAGACGGTCTCATACTTTTCTCCTCCTCTTCAATCAGTGAATCTATATTATTAGTAGCTTGTGTACCATCTTTCACAGAACTGTTTTGGTTGAAAGTTTCCAAGTTTCCTTTGATTTCTCCAACCGGCTCTATTGCTTTAGAAGAATTCATTAAATGGCTTGCTGAGGAGGAATCTGTTGGCTTATCGTATTTAGGTGAGTCATGCTCCTTAAGATGCAGATCATGTTTGGAAGCACAATCCAGTGGCTTTTCAGGTTTCCGTTTTAACTGGCGTTTCGGGGCTTGAACATCTGAGCCAGTACCTAATATAGGTATGAACGTAAATATAAATAAGCATTTTGACAGTCTCTTGTACAAAATTTAGATTTCAGTGTAGGTAAAATGATTTTATGTACCTGCAAAAATAGCACTCGTTTCTGTCCCTTGACACCCATCTGGGCTGGTCAGAGTGAAGAGTTCATAAAGATCGTTGGATTTGAAAAAGCGCCTTTGTTTTGGGTCTTTCAACACTCGGTTTGTTAAAAACTGTTTGAAGATTTGTCTGGAAAAACATTAAATAAAATTGTACTGCTTGCATGAAACAATGTCGAGCTATGCTTAAGCACTGAATACAGCCCTCAAGGAGAAAACTTTATCATCATGAATTTTACCCTACAGAACAATTAAGTGGTGGGAGGAAGATGTTTGTTTTACAAAGACAATCTGAGTTAGTAACTTTTAAACAACCCACTAAATTGTTAACCATAAGAATTTATTGCATTCCAGCAATCCCATAACACACTAGGTACCCGCCATCTTGAAGTGTCCTATGAGACTTCATTTATCCTAAGTAGTAAATAACTTCACAGCTAGAGGGTTTTTTCTACATTAAAACTGAACGCCCTGCGTGTGTTTACCACACAACGATCAGGAAGCTCTGTGAAAGACGAGGGCAGTTGTCAAAGTGATAAAGTTTATATGGTATGATGTTGGTTAGAGAGGCCACAAATCACATCAGCAGGGCCACAGCACAGAGTCTGTCTCTTGGTGTGGGATGGACTACCCCCACAGCGGCTGGGGGGCGGGGGGGGGGAGGCCAGGAGCCATCCAGAGGAACTAAGCAACCAGAAAACTCTACTCAGCAGTGGGAGATCTAGGCTTATAATTAGCATTCATCCACCCCTGTAGTTAGGGCCTTTTTGTGCTACAGTATTCCATGAAATTAGGTCCTGTCAACATCATGAAGGGAAACTGTATTAACAAAATCTGTGTTAAAATGAGGTCTGATTAATATGGTTTTGAACTATAACATAATGCTAACAATACTAATAATAAATGCAAAAAACCCTTAAAAAACAACAATGGTCTATAGCACCTTAGAGATAAACCAAAAAATATATAGATAAATATATAGATGACAAGTCATCTGAAGAAGTGGGTTGTGCTCACGAAAGCTCACGACTAACACGGCTATCCTTCTGAGACTATATTAATGCATAATACTAATACTACTCATACATAATACTAATGTTACTACTAATAAATAATTCTCCCATCTCTCAGAGGACCTCAAAGGAGTTTACATTAATCAATTAAGCTTCAGAAACTCTCACATGGTTGGTCAGTATTACTTCAATTTCACAGATGGGGAAACTGAGGCAAAGGGAAATAAAGTTGCTTGCTCAAGGCTTGGAGTGAGTCCACCGCAGCATTCTACAAAGAACTGAATTTCTGATGGCTGGTCTGATCCTTAGAGCAGACCCCACTTCCTCTGTGTGGTCAGGGTTATTCAAACTGAACCAGTGTTTGTAGATGGGAAGCAAGCCAACTCGCAGCGGAAGCCTGGTGTCTGTGTGGTGAAGCAAATAGCAACTCCTCTCCGTAAGTGCTGGTATTGGATTATTTAGAGTGTCTCATTTAGCTGCCTTTTGAAAGAGGATGTTCCCATTGTAAAGAGAAATGTACCTCCAACTGACGTGAAAATATCTAAGTACATTCATTTGGAGTTCACATTAATGGAGCTATTCCAATAGCTGAATGGCAAAACAAGCTAAAAATAGTTTTGATTTAGAAGTGTATATGTTTGAAGGGGTTTGGATGCATTTTAACCATCCATCTGAATGTTAACCAGTTCTTCATGGGATTTACTCATTTTCATATATGGAGTAAGAACCAAATCTATAAAGTCTGGTGAGTGGCTATTCTGTTTTTTATACTATGTATCACATAGCATGCATAATACTAGAAATCTTATTGATTTGAATCTATATTCCTGCAACAGCACTCCCAGGTAAATATCAGATTTGGGGACTCAGGACGTCCGCGTTGTATTATTTCCTCTGCCATTGGCCTACTGTGCAACCTTGGGGAAATCATTCATCGCTGTTCTTCAGCTCCCCTATATGTAAAGTGGAGACAACCACACTGGCCTCCTCTGCAGTGCTACGAGATCTATAGACAAAAATGCTATGAAAGAGCTAGATATTACTCTTACTATTGCTGCTACTTGCTTGAGTAAGGTTGCAGACATGATTACATTTTGGGAGGGATATGGAGAAGGCTCTCCAACCTTCCCTTCTCCAGCACTGCTCAGTTATCAATGAACATTGATCCTACTGACCTGTGGTAAATCTTCTCTTCAATAGTACCTGCAGTAAGGAGCCTGTAAACAGTCACCTGTTTCTTCTGGCCTATTCTCCAAGCACGCTCTCGAGCCTAGAGCATTAAAGAAGTGTTTAGCAGATCACAGCCTCCAAAAGCAAAGGGTCTTATTTGCAGGGAGCTACTGGTATCACTATGTATTTTACATCTACTTTGGAAATTTAACAAATAGCTCAAGTGACTATAATGATCACGCATCTATGCTGACAGGAACAAATCCATATGGGCCAGCTTTCTAGAAAGACAAGACTTTAGTAACCATATCTACAAATTTATGAATAATTTCAACAAGAAAGGCACCAATATATTACTTAACCATGTTTTCCCTTGGGTAAACTTATCCCCAAGAAAGATACATTTCAGAAATCAACTATACTGTATATACATGCATCACAACAGTTTTTAACTCCTCCTTGATTTACCTTGAAACTGGAAGTTTTTACAATATTTTTTACTCAGAACAACAGGCCACCCAGGGTGCAGGGTGTTTCATAGGGCTGTGCCGATGGTGTAGTGGAGCTACATTTTCCCGTCATTTTCAGATGGGCATAACCCTAACTTGCATTTAAAGATATCCATGGAGAGGCTGAATGTAGTGCTCGTAAACCATATGAACATGCGTGCATTTTGAGATTAAAAATACTGCAGAGTAATTTTATTTAGAAAAGTAGCTATTTTGGAAAAAAAAGAAAGCTGTAGTGCATAAAATAGTACCATCTCAGCATCTAATGGCTTTATACATGGCTTAATTTACAATCAAATAGAAAACAACCATATTGACATGGATGCTTTTAATTATGAGTTTAGGGAATTCAGCTCCCATCTGAACACACGAGAAAGCAGAAGAATTTCAAAGTAGTTTTTGGATGTGTAGGCTACTTTAATATTTGGCCAAAAAACATGTTCAAATTAATTAAACATATAGAGTTTACCTTTAAAACAATGCTATCGTCCCTGAACTTTCCAAAGTCCTATTGCATAACATTAGATAAGAGAACTTTGTCAGATGTATATGGTATAACAAAAACTTGCACTAATGCCAAGTCTACAGCAGACCCAGCAGTTTGGCTTAAGGTACACAATGTCAGCTACGTAGAAAACGTAGCTGGAGTCAGTTTACTGTAAGCCGAGCAGGGCAGCGTCCCCACAGTAGGAGACTGACGAAAGCAAATGCTCTTATCGGCTTTCCTTACACCTTGAAAGAGTGGGAGTACTGGCTGCTGGCAGAAGCACCCTCTAAGTTCAATTTAGCGAGTCTTATCTTGACTTGCTAAATCGAACTCCGGAAGATCGATGGCAGTAGCCTTGATCTTCCACGGAGTGAAGACATGTCTTGAGAGACGAATCCCAGCTAGAGATTCAGGTAGCAGTTGATAGTGTTTTGAACATTTATCATTCATCCATTTTGCTTATTAAAGACACTGCTAAGGTGTTCTACTTAGGAACCGCAGTTTACCTCTTGAGGGGAAAAAGGGACAGTTTCTCCTGCCATATGAGAGTGTGAAAGCTAAAGAAAAGAGCACCAAACACTCTCAAATACCTGCAACACTGAAATAGAAGCAACTGATCTCTCACTAATTATTTAAAGTAACAAACAGATTACCTCTTTCAATACTTATTTTTATTTTAAACCTAGCTGAGCCAAACCTACCTGTGTGTCTGTACTGGGATTCCAGTCAGGATCATAGATAATAACTCTGTCAGCACCTGTCAGGTTGACACCAATACCACCTACTCGGGTTGTAAGAAGAAAAACAAAGATGGAGGTATCCTGTAATACATGCAACACAAGAGAAAATTTAACAAACACCCCAAACTAGAATGTCTGAAGTACAGCCATGTTCTTGTCACATTAGTTTTCTTGCATGCAGTATGCACTTTTTTGAGTAAAGAAAAGGGGGTTAATTTAGTTTTAATACACACTGTAGAGGTGCAAATCACCATTAATAAACCAGAGACCCAGAAGGCAATCACAACAGACAAGGGTTTCCATAATTTCCCACCACAGGGTTTTTTGCACCTTCCTCAGAAGTGGCTGGTGCTGGTCGCTACTGGAGACAGGATATTGGATGAGACTGCTCATGAAACTGATCCGGTCTGGCAACTGCTGTGTTCCTAAATGACAGGTGCTATGGACGCAGAATGTATTCCCTCTTCATCTCTTCTGGATCCAGTTTACAATCAAATTATTTTTTCAGATGGTTACCTATCTGTCTGGGGGTGTTATAACATCATGCATCACCATTGTCTCTGAGTACCTTCTACGTAAAATGAAGCCTTTGGTGGACTTTTCCCTTTTTAAGGTTAAAAATCTCAGTCTCTGCTTGGCTTTGTTGTTGGTTGGTTTCAGGTCTTCTAATTCATTTTTTGCGGGGGAAGGGGGTTTCAGTGTTAAAAGTGCCATTCTTGCTATGGCAGGCTATTTTTAAGGAAAGGAGGGTTTTGCAAATGTTTACTACAGATGGTCACAGTCGGAGCGAGTATATACCCGTTGTCCACTACATACATACTCAGGGCGGCTAGTCCCTCCTACTGCTTGTGCTGCTGTGGCTATATTCTATTTTTAGTGTGCTAGCTCTCACCGAGCCAGGGGAAGTATAACTCAAGCGGGGAATCACACCCCCAAAAGTGTAGACATGCCCTTGTCAAGAGTCAAACTAAACACGGAGGTTTCCTTTCACTTGCAAGCGGGGAATCACACCCCCAAAAGTGTAGACGTGCCCTTGTCAAGAGTCAAACTAAACATGGAGGTTTCCTTTCACTCACCAAATGGGGCTATACACCTTTAGTGGAATGCAGAGGAGCAGTGCTACGGTTAGCTCTTGAAACATTTCCTCCCTCCAACTAGGGATTTAAGAGTGTAGTATTTAAATGGGTAACCAATAAGCATGAGCTAATCAGTTACCCAACCAGCTACAGACAGCTCCTGGTCTTGCACCCGAGGAGCCATCTGCCACCTCACGTTGCTGTCTCTATATCAGAGGCAGTAGCACGGGGCAGCAGCCAGCCCCCAGGAGCCGGGTGGTAGGTGGGAGCCATTGTGCCCGGGGAACTAGCTTACAATTTTCAGCGTTTACACAGTTAATTACATGCATTTTAACATCCCTACTTCCAACCAGTATCACTTCATTATCGCCTGAGCTGACTTTGAGCCAGCTGTTCTTCATCTAGAAGCTGATCTCTTGCAAGCATTCTCCTTCTTAATAACAGCAGCAGTTGCCTCAGCGGAGAATGACATATGTTGGTGTTACAAACTCCTGGGATCTTAAGATTGAGCTGTGTATTCTCTGCCTCGTCTTCCCAAGAAACAGTGGTTCTACAGTCAGACTATCACTGCCCTTTCTGCTGGCAATGAATGAGACTAAAATCCAGCTTGACCTTCTATAGCTGTATGGACCCTGCTAGGCTAACAAGTATAAAAGCTTGATTTTGTTAGGTAAGTCAGCAGAAATGACAAAGATGTACTGCAGAGGAAGCGGATACTTGGAGTACACAGCACTGTTTCCTCAATCACTTTTCTGACCATAATCACACTTTAAACGGTCTAAACTTGATTTGTGCTTTCTTTTACAATGAAGCTCTCTTTCTTGTTCTGGCTGGAGCTTTGTTTTAAGAGAGTGCCGAAGTTCAATTTGGGGAAAATGGTGATTTTTTCCATCTTCACACTAAGACAAGCAGTTCTGAATCAATCGTTTCTGGGACCAATTTTTAAATAGACCAGAGTGAATGCTTAAACTCCTCAACTCTGAAATGAGATCAAGTATCAATCATCGACAGGAACATATGGAGATGTTGAAATTCTCACCTGATTGTAACTCATTATGAGTGGCTGTCTGGATGCAATTGTTGTGGTACCATCCATCTTAAGGTAGGAATAGTTTCGGTCTCTCAGAAATACTTCAAGGATCCTCAGCATCTATTATGATAGAAAAGATGTGAATGAAACCCAGGTATGAAGATCAACTGACTATATGATCAAGGTAAAGCTATTTCTGATATTAATTTGCAATGAAAGGGATAGATCATGCTCTCCTGGGTGAATAGGTGGGTGGACTTATGAAGGCTAAAGACCAGAAAAATAATGAAACACATGAGGTATTTTCCCTGATAGAGCAGACCGAGGAGCAGGACCTCAAAAGACAGATAATCAGGCTGGGATGTGGAACTCTCCTAAGATCCCACAGAGGCAAAGCGAAGTCATGAACTTGTGACCAGGAAAGGGAAGGGGTTCCATGTAGGCCCTTTGAGCCTACAAGGTGGAACAGCTTTGTGTGGGCGCTGCGTGCACATGTGCTGGCAGTAGACGCTCCACATTGGTTACGAAAGATGCCAGGCAGCCATGTAATGAAGGACAGAAAACATCAATATTGACTTATCATCATTATTCCCCAATTTTAGCCTATTTCTCCTCTTTTGTAGGGGAAGCAAGCCAGAGAATGGTTCTCCCCTAGCTGGCCATATCATATGGAGAGGATTACAAGGGATTTTTTGGTCCAGGAGAGGAGATGCTCAACGCCCCACCTCCCTTGGACAAACTGCTGGTCATCTGGGTGCTCTGAACACTTCCTTTGTCACCTCCATACTCCAGAAGGCAGTGAAATATATGGTACATGGCTGAACCAGTTACACATGCCACAGAAACAGTCCTGTTGTACGTGCTTTAATATCTTTTACAATTCAAACATTACTCCTTGCTCTTAAGGAACCCAGTTTTTGGAAAGTACAAGAGTAGCAGAGTAATCATTATCATCAAAAGTCAAGGCTAGAATTTTTATTTTATTTTCAGCTATACTTTCACATCCACAGTAACGTACACCCCAAATGGACACACCATTACATTTACAGAGACACTGGAGGAGAGAAGCTAACATCACACCACCCCAGAAAGAAGCAGGACAGTAGCTTGTTGCTTTGGAACATTCCGTATGGAGAACAGGACAAGAAAAATCAGAAAAACATGCAGGTCAGAACAATGCATCTAGACAAGGCAATTTATAATCATTCTTTGTTCCTGAGGATTCATAAGATTCATAGATTCCAAGATCAGAAGGGACTATTAACATTTTCTTTGACCTCTCTGTCCTGAGCACAGGCCCCAGAAATTCTCCAAAATACCTAGGGCAGCTCTTTTAGAAAATACACATCTGATTTTGATTTAAAAACTGGTAGTGATGGAGAATCCACTGTGACCCTTGGTAAATTGTTCCAATGGGTAATTACTCTGTTATAAATGTGTGCCTTATTTCCAGTCTCAATTTGTCCATCTTCAACTTCCAGCCATATTAGACCTTTCCCTAATAGACTGAAGAGTCCATTATTAAGTATGTTCTCCAATTTATCAATATCCTTCTTGAACGGTGGATACCAGAGCAGGAGACAGTATTAGAGGAAAAATAACCTCTCTGCTCCTTCTCAAGATGCCCATTTGTACACACCACGAACACAATAGCTCTTTTGGCCACAGAATCACCTGTCCTCTCCATTATTTAACACTCTCCAATTTTTTAAAATATGCGCATACACACATCTGAATCACCGTAATTTATTTATGTAGGTTTTTCCCCCAGATTCAATAATAAAAATAATGTTCAGTTATCTCCATTCCTTACTGGACCTAAACAAAACAGAAACACAAATAAGGTGCTTGGCATGTTGTCTTTTTTTCCCTTTGTGTTCCTTTTGGGGTTGCTTTTTTTAAATTTGTTATTAAAGACATGCTGGTACTGAGTTTGCTGTGAAAAGTGGTATTAACAAACAGACAAATATCACTTTTCACAGCAGACTTACTCAGCTGCAATAAGCCCAGAGACAAATTAAGCAATTAAGTCTATATAGGGAAGTGCGTGCAGAGGCAGCTCAAGGCCGGGGTGATGGATGGTGGTAGCCTGGTTGGTGAGCTTGAAGCCAGAGCCCTCTACCTCAGGGCCAGGGAACGTAGCTTGGGCACCATGGTTGGAGTCTGCCACCCAACACCTCACGGCTACAGCCCAACCCCGGCAAGACGATGAA